TCAACACAATCGGATATGCTTATTCGCGTAATAAATTTGACAGCCATTGCAGATACTGTAAAAGTAAGTCTGGCGATACTGTTTCGGACTGGCTCGAGATCAAAAACGTCATCAGGGAGGACGAAGTACTCTCCACTTTGCCGTTCAGTATAGTAGTGGATCACGTCCTACGAATCAGCACTGAACAGCACTATGCCATCGACCTCCAGTTGGAACACAGGCAAAGATAAAGATATCCGGCGAAGTACTGAACAGACCTAGGCTACGCCGATGGCAACGTCACACAGGGCGATAGTGGCGAAAGCATTCACTAGTTGAGCGAAATAGTGTCCAGCACTGTCGTGAAAACAAGCTTCCACTTTATCCTGCAAAAACAATGGTGATGAGAAATTCCGTGGTCGCTACAGTAGAACCGAAGGTGTGCCATGGCAACAGCGCAATCGAAGAAGTACAACAGTTTAAACATCACGGCTCCGTCATCTCGAACGATGATAGCCGCGGCAGTGACGCAAACAGGAGGATTGCGCCGGTTTCTCTTACGTTCTAAAGCTTTTCTAAAGTCTGGATTGGAAGAGGAAGAGCTGTCTCCACCCAGATCCGAGTTTGCGGCGCTGCTATCGAACCAGCTTGGCTCTAGCGATTGCAAAACCAATTGCGATTACTAAAGCGAAGGAGCTCCGCCTGGACAGCCTCCAACAATGCTGGTTACGAAGCATGCTGAGGCTTTATTGGTGCAATCGTTTGAGGAACAACCATGTTCATGCATTGGCCAATCTCCAACCAATTTCGCAGTTGTTCACAGACCGAAGCGCCCATGCTTCGCTGACTGACTGACTGGACAGCTGCGAAACCGAAACATAGCCAGTGAAACGTCGATGTCCAGTATATCATTTGGTAGAGGAAACTAGACGAAGATCTTGAGGATTGTTGAGAAAGAACCCTTTCCTGGTCGACGCAGTAAACGGCTCCCAATATCTAAGTGTGCAGCGCTGAGGTGAGCGGACATCACGAATCTTAAGTAACTTTCAGTTCTGCAAGGCTGTTGGAGATGGCGATTAGAACCACAAGAAAATGTACTCAAAAATGTTTTAGTGGCTAGGTGACTTTACACACCAAAAAATGAGAAATATTCCTATTGACAAGTTGTTCAACTTGTGGACTTGGGTGCCGATATTCCAATCGATGAAACAATATCCATCTCAGCGATTATCCGGTCTTCTGCATGACAATGCCTGCGGATCAGTGATCTTGATGATATGATACATCTGTTACATTCAAAGCTGCAGTATCAGTGAGAATTTTGAAGAATGAGTATGTAATTTTCAGAAAGTACACATTTCTTATATGAAAAACACTCAAGAGGCAGTTACCCGACATCTTTAAAAACACATGCTTTAATGAAATAGAGTAGATTTTATTTAATACATGGTTAAGCATGTTGTTCAGGCTGGATGAATAGCCAACTTTATCACATATTCCCACGAACTACAGGTTTATCAAATGGTTGATGATGAGCGAATTCGAATGTGGGCTCTGAGCACAACACATGGCCAGTTGAACTCGGCCGTGACACTAATGACAGCAGGAAAGGCAACAGTAGCCCTCCATTAAGTTTCTGCGCGACAAACGGGCTTATACTCGGCCAGACCCTGTTTCTTATAGACCAGTCAGTTTCCATGACCGCTCTTCCTGTTGAGTCGGGAAGGTAGACGCGTGAAACAGCTCCACCAACGTCCTCAATCCTCTGCCAGCGTTTGGGCATAGGCGAAAAATAACTCAAATCAGGAGCAGAGTCCTGCGCGAGACATGCCGCAGAATATATTTGGCCGCCCCCAGGATCTTCGGCTAGGCCTGTCAAGCAGGCAGTAGCTGCGCCTTCCTTTCTGGAGACATTTGCAATACGGGCCTAAACTATTTCAGCTGTGACTTGTAAGTCTGGAGAAGCAGCAA